AAATCTTCTGGGTGGATTAATAACAGGTATAGCACCATTATTCACTTGTATTCTACATTTTACCAAGACCTCCAAATAATTCAGTGCAGAGTTATTATTGACAAATCCATCCTTACTCAGATAATCTATATTTTCCTTGTGTAGCACAAAGAGATTTAATTTGGTACAAGATTCAAGACCCAGTAAAGGATACCTTAACAGATTTATCCACAGTAATTATGAAATCAGCAAAAAATTCAACATTTTTACACTGCACTTTCAGCGAAACTACTCCTACAGGCTTCACTATATTACCACCAAATTCCTCTGAAATTATTTTTGTATCTCGTAGCTGAGACTCAGGAACGCCAACTGCACTCAACATTTAACGTGATTGTACATTTACATCTTCACCAGTGTCTAATTTGAATTTAATAAGTACACGATGATCACCAATATTTACATTATGAAATCATGAAATAATTGATAACATTTTATTACTTCGGTTTTTTATTCCAATAATATTGATTGCGAACTCAGCCTCATCAGACTTCTAGAATCTCTTGTGTTATGACATGACACTGCAAAATGATTCAAGTGCTTTTTTTTACTATTACTACACTTTTTTCCAAAGGCGGGACATGCACGAACTCCATGCAAAGTTTGGCATCTTCTACATTTGAATTTTTCCCCAAATTTCAAAAATCTTTTATCTGCACCACTAGAATTTGGAACTAATTTATTATAATTGTTATAGTTTCCTGACCTTTTCCTAACAAACTCCACTTCACCAGAGATTCCTTGCGAATTTCTAGCTTGGGATTTAGCAATTTCAGCAGCTTGGCACACATTTACAGCCTTGGACAAGTGTCAAGACCTTCCACACGAAGCAACCTTTCCTTGTCAATAATTCCTAAATTAATTCTATCACGAACCATCTCATCACCTAAAGCACCAAATTCACAGGATTGTGATAATTTTTTGACGTCTGTTAAAAAGTGATCAAATCCATCACCTTCCTTCTTGTTGATTCCTACTATAAAATTCGAAATTGTATATTGTGTATTTAGGTGGAAAAGTGTCGTTTCTAAGAGGAAAATTCTGAGAGTATGAAACGTATTATTAGAGAACGGAAGCCCCTGTAGTGAAGAGCGAAGAGCATGTTGGTTATGTAAGAAATTATGGCAAGGTTAATTATTTTGTTTTTTTATTGTTTCCACCAAAACCAGTTGATAATAGGTCAAATACCTTGTTACCTGCACTTTCTCTAGGTGGATTTTTTCTAAATAGTATATTTTCTAAGTAGTACGGGATGCTCCAGTTTTTCGCACGAGTTAGGAATACTATTTTTTCTATTAGGTGAAAGCTAATATTTGTACCTAGGTATATATTTAACAATTTAATATTATTTCTTTTTTCACTTTTCCTGTGCCGGTAGTATACCTGTATATCTACAGGGTGGAGAATTAAAAAGGATCCACCTGGATTTTCTCGAAATTTATCAGAAAATTAAAAAAACGCCGGAACACGTCAATTTTGTTTGCAAGGGGATCACTTTTTGGCTATTTCGAAATTTTCCTATATTGCACCCCCTTACCGAGGTGAGTTGCACCCTCAAAAGTTGAATAGGGAAACTGGGTCGAGTGGTACCTTGTTTGAGAGGTATTTGAGATGACTTTACAGATCAGTAATTTTTTTCGAAATCTGGCTACTAGTTTTCAAGATATTCGCCTTGGAAGTTGCCATGGGGCGAAAAGAGAATGTGTTTTTCGCATAGTTTTTCGTACATTTCTACAAGAAAAAATTGAAATTCCTGAAACACGTCAATTTTGTTTGCAAGGGAAATACTTTTATGTTATTTTAAAATTTTCGTAGGATGCATCCCCTTCACGGGGTGAGTTTCACCCTCAAAACTTGAATAGGGAAACTAGGTCAAGTGGTACCTTGTTCGAGAGGTATTTGAGATCTCTTTACACATCTGCGATTTTTTCAAAATTTGACTTTCAGTTTCCAAGATACTCGCCTTGGAAAGTGCCATGAGGCAAAAAAACGTTAATTTTGTTAGACAAATGACATAATAGTATATTAAAGTATAAGTGGATATTAATTAAATTACTAATAGTTGTAGAATGCTAAATTCGTGATATGACATCTGGTATACCTTTGTTGTCTGACAAATCAATAATTAAAAAGTTGACATTTAGACTTTACCTTTCTGGGGGTTGTTGATGTTGTTATGGTAACTTTATTAAAACACGCGCGTTTTTGAATGTTGGATTTAAACACGCTGAGGAGTAGTTTAAATAAGTAAAATAGGTTGTCAATAAAAAAAAAAATATTCACCTCCAAATTGATTAGTTTTATTCAAATTTGTTTTACAAATTCAGGTAATTTAGATTAGGTATACCTATCAATTGTTCGAAATGACCACCATCTTCTTCCATACAGTAATACAGTCTTTGTTCGAAGGCTCTTCTTACATTAGCCAACATTTCCGGAGTAATTCGCCTACACTCCTCATTAATTCTTCCACAAAGTTCTTGCAGGAATTCTGGTCTGGTAAGAAACACTTTACTTTTTAAGTATCCCCACAAAAAGAAGTCTAATGGGTTTAGATCAGGAGACCGTGCAGGCCAGTCGATTGGTCCCCTTCTTCCAATCCACTGCCCAGGATATTATCTATCATCCAAAAATTGTCGCACAAACGCAGCATAGTGCGGAGGGGCACCATCTTGCTGAAAATGCAAGTTTCCGATATTGTGCTCTGGATCGTTTTCTACTGCTCCGGTTATTAAATTGTCAATTCCGTTTTCCAAAAATTCAAAATAAATCTGTCCAGTTAGGTTTCCAGGTATGAAAATTGGACCTATGATGCGGTTTCCAGGAACTTCTGCCCATACCAGGGATGTTCCAAACTGCACAATTGTGCTTATTGATGCACACTTTCAATTTATATGCACAGTATGCACCCCAATCTCTAGATATGCACATTTTGATTTCTAGAATGAATCTATCACAATTTTTCAATCAATAACACAAAATATTCTGAATTTGAGGTATAACACAAAATATTCTGAATTTGAGGTTTCATTTCAGTAAATTTGTACTGAGTGTAAGTACACTGTATTGTTTACATACTCTCATACTCTACACTCAGTACACTCTACTGAGCTGTACGCCACCAAGGATGATACCACTACTACTATACAGGATGGCCTATCCTCATAAGGCATGTGTGGAACAAATCCCCTTCCCAAACCAAATCACCAGTTGTGACGTAGGCAGCATGTTATTTCTCGCCTTGACGTAGGCTGTTTAAACAGCTGACGACTTAGTTATGATGTCAGAAATGGTGACACATCAGTATGGCGGCGATTACTAAAAATGAAGCCGATAAGCAATCCTGTAGGTGTATATCATTCTTGGTACGCTACTGCCCAGCCGGCTCTAGCCCAATCCAGCCTGCTCGACAATCGACAATAAAAATACAAAATATTGGCAATCGGAACTGGCACATTGTAAGAATAAACATACATATTGGCAACCGGCAACATTGAAAAGCAAGACAAGGGGGATGCACATTTTGTATCAGATATGCCCACTTTTTATACTGTCAAGTGCACATTTACAAATTCTCTCGGAACATCCCTGGCCCATATATTTAGTTTCTGGGGGTGTTGTGTATGGTCTCTGCGTACCAATGTGGATTGGAGTCACTCCAGTAACGACTATTGTCTCTATTTACTGACCCGTTCAAGGTAAAAGTGCATTCGTCAGAAAAACAAATGTCATAGGACATTCGTGGATTGTTTATCAAACGATCGCTCATGATTTCAAAAAACTGCATCCTTCGATCATTATGGTCCTCATTCATTTCATGCAAAAGCTGAATTTTATAGGGATGATATTTATGAGCATGTAGAATTTGACCAACTGTTCTATGGGATATCTCAGTGAAACCAGCCACCTGACGAGTGCTAGTATAGTATGTCTATCCACTTCAACATGACCTAAAACGGCAACTTCTGTGGCTTCATCCCTTACTCTGGGTACACGCTGGGGTTTTTTGTTCTTCACAGATCCTGTCTCTTCAAATTTTTGAATCAACCTACCAACATAGCAATGTTCAACATTTGATTCTGGATGATTTGCGTTGAAAATTCGCGCAGTAGATCTAGCGGAGCTATTATTTCGGCAATAAATATGAACGAGTTAGATTCTTTGTTTAGTAGAGTAAACGATTTCATTAAATTAATAATACTGAAATATCAAATATCAAATTTAAAAAAGTCCAAGCAGAATAATCTTGTAAAGATAAAAAAATTAGTAAAAAAATTGAATGAAGAAATAACAATTATTCATCTAAGAACTAAGCGATAATGCACGATATAGGTACATTATTTTTGCGTATAGGCAAAGGTATAGGTATCATGCCAAACGTTCCTTTTAGATGACCTCTAGAATTTGAGAAAAAATTAGATTTTTTCAAAACATACCTATTGAGGTCTTCAAATTAACATCAAGAAGAATTTTTTGCAGACATTTTGAACCTTTGTTTCTTTGTTAGTTTGAACCTTTTGAACAACCTTTCAAACATGACTCACTTTCCATTTTTTCACGAAAAACACGTTCTCTTTTCGCCCCATGGCAACTTCCGAGGCGAATATCTTGAAAACTAGAAGTCATATTTCGAAAAAAATTACAGATCTGTAAAGTCATCTCAAATACCTCTCTAGTTTCCCTATTCAACTTTTGAGGGTGCAACTCACTCCGGTAAGGGGGTGCAATTTACGAAAATTTTGAAATAGCCAAAAAGTGTCCCCTTTTGCAAACAAAATCGACGTGCTTCGGCGTTTTTTTAATTTCCTGGTAATTTTCGGGAAAATCCAGGTGGATACTTTTTAATTTTCCACCCTATAAGTAGCTGTATAGGTACCTACAAATGTTAGGTATTCTACTTTTCCGCACTCAGTACGGATACAGTGCGGAAAAATAATGCGGAAAAGTGGTACTTTCATGACCTAAAATGCGTGCGGAAAAGTGCACTTTTCCACACGCTCGTAGAAAAGAATATGTTTTATTTTAAGGTAACATATGCGACTTTTGGCTTTTTCCTCATTACTAAAACGTTCTGGATCAAATACTTCTGGATTTGGATAATATTCGGGGTCCATATGAAAGCCCCTAACCGGAATTTGAACGTGTGTACCTGAAAAATAATTTTATGATGAATAAAGAGGCAGAAGGAATTTGTGAAAAATTTATGTTTACTAGACAAACAATTTTGATAGCAAAGTTAGTAAAAAAAATTAGTTGTATACCGAAGTAAATCAAAGTAAAAGTAATATTAATGGCAGAAGATTGCGTTTAAGTTGGATAATAAATATCTAATTCAAAAACATAGGGAAATGCTAAGACCTAGTAGGAGAAGATGAATCAATCATTCTTGTTAAAATAATAAAAATAACAAAAATCAAGTGATTAATACGGAAGTTTAAACAAAGACCAGAGAGAGAAAAAAAATAGAATTAAATTTGAAACATAAAACTTTAAACTAGGCAATACAAACATTAAACAAAAGTAAACAACGATAAATAAAATTTACCATAATTATTGAAGATTCAAATAAAGAAAAAATAGCATGGTTTAGAGAATCAATAAGGTAAGATAAATTAAAAAACTTAGGTGGAGATAATGAAAGTACAAATAGTACAGATAGAGATACCCAATGACTAAATAACTAGACGAATCTGTAGTTTTACTGGTGAAGCACGAAACAACATAAGAACTTTTTTCAACGTCAAATTACTATAATCACTTCTTCATGATATAATAATGTCGCGGCTGCCCATAAACTATTATCAGACTTTGCTAGTATGATTTTGTGTTGGCGAACGGTGATTTATTCTGTTTCCGGGTGGTGACAAAAGTGTATTTATTCGCTTGAACAACTGTAGGTTTAGAATTCTACAGTTTTGTATTTTTATGTTCCTTTTCATAACAATTGTCTATAGAATTATTTTTATTTTTATTCCTAAATACGGAACGTTGACTTTTTTGATTAGGAATCTCAAAAACAAGCCTGGCGACAAAGAAGGAAGTCCTAACTTTATATCCTAATACGCCGTTATTGGGTTAATTCATCAAGTATAAACTAGCAAGGCTATTTTTGTGATTAGAAATGATTTTTGTATTACCATAACAAACTTGGATAATTTGATTATATGTTATCTATTCTCCGTTTATACAAATATATATTTTTTTTTGAATCCTCCAACGTTTATCAATTATTTCTAGCTTGATTATGATATCTTCAATTGTACTGATGTGTTAAATATTCTGGAAATGGAAAAGACAAGACTTTCTATAACATTTGGAGGTTAATTAATACCTTTTTCTATTTCAATATCTGTTCCAGGCATTGTGTAATCTTTGGTACAAACCCTTTGAATCGAAGGTGCAACAGGGTATCTCCTCAAAGTTTCTAGAAAAATAATAATATAAAACTCAGGTACTTAGGTACATAATTTTTTTCATACCTGAGACTACTTTTTCAACATACTCCAGCTCTTTTGCAGCTTCATACGTCAATTCTCCATCATACTTTTCTAAAACCTTAAAAATGTCAAATTATTTAAAATTCGCTCCCAGAAGTGACAGTTAAACCTTTCGTAGGTATTTCATCTCTCATTTTGTCCTGCATCTCGGAATTTTTAGTAGCTTCATACAGGGCCATCGTCATGGTCAACGAAGACGTATCAAATCCAGCGACAAAGAAAATGAAACACTGAGTTACGATTTCGTCGTCCGTGAAAGTACCAGTTTCGTTATTTTCTTTGGTGAGTTTGCCATCGTCAGAAAATAAGTTTTTGTTACGCAGCTGAAGTAATAAATGCATAAAGTCCTTTCTGGAATAGACAAAATACGAAGAAAAATATAATTAAGATACTAGATCTTATTGAATATTAGCAAAGAAACTCTCAGTCTTATACTTATAACATCAATACCTATAGGTCTTTAGTCTTAGTATTAAATAATTCAAATTTGAGAAATATAATCTTAAAAAGAAAAACTGGGTACTTTAAAGGATATTCTGTATTGAATTAAAATCAATTTACAGTTAGAAAACCTCGTAGAAAACCAAAAAACTTTGCTCCTTTTGATTTTAATGAAATTGGCCCAAAATTGGAAAATCGAATTCAAAAAAAAGCAGCTAGTTTTCAATCAATGTAAGATAGAGGTGTAAGTGGTAATGTCACTTATTCGCCAGTCGCCACACTCAAAATATGAGATTACAGCTTATATCAAGGAGTGTAACCTCTATTTTACATTTATAAAGAACATTCAATTAATTAGAAATTTACTACAATTCAACAAAAATTACAAACTTATATTATACTGACTGACCAAATTTTGTGGTGTCTGAGAATTTCTTTACTAATATCTAATACTAAAATACAAAAAATGCATCATTCAAAAACATTTTACCCTGTGCCCTGTAGAATAGAATTTGCATTACAGAATAATAAAGTTGCAGAATCTAGATCTGCTTCTAAATAATTTCGAAAGCTGAAATTGTACTTTGTGGTGTCTCGTTTTTGAATAGCTTGCACAATAAATCAAATTCTTACCTAAATACCTGATTTTTCTCTCTATGCTCTATGGTTTTTAATACAATATTAACGAAAAATTCCTCCACGTCTCCAAAGCTTTTGTATCCAATATTTCGTTGGAAAGACATTCTCCAACAAATTTTTCATCGGACGTGGAGTATTAGTTTTTTTACCGTAAAATCTAAAATCGCAGTCCGGATTTGTCAGTGAATCGCATTCGATGCCAAAACCACAAAAGGCAATAACGTCGGTAGTGAATCGGGCAGAAAAATCTGAAATATTAAGTTCACCGTCTCTTTCAATGAATTGATCGATTATGGATTCGAATTGATACGTTTTTTCGTTTAAAGTTTCAAACATCATTTTTATTCGGCTTGAAGTAAAAGTTGGAGTAAGCTTGGCTCTCAACTGTTTCCAGCTTTCACCTCCTAATCTGGAGAGTGTCTGTGTTAAAATGTCTGATTCGTGATTGTAGCCACCTAAAATGAAAAATGGTAAAAGTTTGTAACGGAATCTAATAGGGAACCATTTGATAAAGTGCCTACGTCACTTTAACAGTAATAATAATCATTGATGAATATTTATTCTTGGCCTCAGTAGCGTCCTCTGTATGAATTTTTCCCTGGTATACCTAAAGTTAATTAAACATAAACTTTTCTCTAATATAAACTTATTAACAACAATTAAAATTCGTCCTCTGCCTAACAGAGGGACCTACTTATTTTAAAATTATTCTTAAAATTATATATTTTTTTTTGGTTCCTGAAACCCGCATTCCAAAGCTGTTTTTTTGCTGCGTTTTCAATTTTGCATTCAGGAATCTTGACTAAATCGATATTCTAATTTCTTTTATTTGCGCCTTTCAAACAGACAACTGTGTAGTTTGAAAGTTCGTGGGTTTCCTTTTTATTACAAAATCAAACCTGAATTTAACTAAGTGTCAGGTATGTATCTAATTTTGCTTTATTGTGTATTCGAGGCTGATTGTTGATTTTGTATTTTCTTCAATCTTTCATACTTTATAAGATTAATAATTATGCCAAGAATTTATTAATTGATGCTCTAAATCTTACAATCCTTACAAATGGTTCTACGAAAAATGATTTCCCTATTTTTTTTCAGTTTGTTTGGTGATAATAAAAGACGTTTGCCCTTCAACAAATTGTGTTTTGTTGGCCTTAACCTTCCTTCCTTTACATTTGGCGCTCAACGAGGAGGCCAACAAGGGGCTAAAATTCTAAAATGCCGAATTTACAACATTCGCCATCTGGTGCGACACCAGGAGCAACCAACACTACAGCCACAGCTACTATTGCTACTGGAACAACTCCTAAAACAACAGGAGGAGGTCGTCGTCCAATACGCCAACCGGCGCACTTGAAAGAGTTTGAAATGGGAGGTGTTGCTGCAAGAAGAACCGATCCGTTGTTGCCTAGAAGGAGAAATTTAGGCTTCTCTGATAACCATCGCCGCCAAGCAGAAGATGGGATGTTGAATCAAGGTAGGATCAATCCATATTTAAATACTGAAGGTCCAGGGCTACTTGATGACGCTTGGAGACAGCCAACTGCTTCAGGGCCTCAGCTTTTCAATGCAGAGGCTCCTGCAAATTATGGCAACAATAATGATTTTTCTTCATCTCTGCCAAATTTTAATGTGCAAAATTTTTCGCCTTCACCAAATTTTAATGGGAATTTGCCCAATAATTTTTCAAGACCTGTAAATATTAACTCTCAAATACCGCCTTTATCTATTTCAAATCAAGACATAGGTAAAATAGTTTCACAAGTAGTTTGCTCAATGATCAATATGAATCTAATAAACAATAATTGTAACAATAATGAGTCTCAGAATACAACAAAAAATTATGCCAAAGAGCTTAAAAATTTACCTTCTTTTGATGACACAGCATCTATGCACCCCATAGATTTTTTACAGCAAATAGAAAGCGTCATTTCAGTTAATACGTGTAATTTCCGAGATTTTTGTTCATCCCTAATCAATTTATTCAAAGGCAAAGCTCGTCTGTGGGCCGATGCTTTTTTATTTAGTTTTGAATCGTATCAGGAATTTAAATTTAATTTTTCTGAAAATTTTTGGGGCGCTACTAGGCAACTCCAGGTTAAATTGCGAATAGAATCGGGCAGATTCACGGATGGTTCCTTTGTAGATCATTTTAATTTATATGTTGGTTTAGCTAAACATCTACAGCCACCTTTTCCTACAGAGTTGTTAATATCATCAATATCCCGGCATTTTCCTCCAAATATTTCGGTATTGCTTGTAGGTGCTGCTACTTTGGAGCAAGCCTTAAGTCGCTTAAGACAGGCGGACTACTATTTTGGGGATTCTCGTAATTTTTCATCACCCTTACAGTCCGGGGTGTTAGGTTCTGGTTTATCGGAAAATACTCGAAGAGAACAAAATAGAAATTTCAGCTCGGGTTCATTTGAAAATACCAGAAAAGAACAAAATAAAAACTACAATTCCTATGCAAATAAAAATTTTGATAAAAATCGAAAGCAAATTTCTAGTTTGGAAATTCCAGAGAATCTGGAGTCGGAAAACTGAAGATTTTCACTGGCACAGGCCCAATCAGTGAAAATTTTCTAAAAAGGGCTGTTTTAGAGGCTTTTCCTTCTGAAGAGGAGCCTGAAGGTTCAGATAATGATTCGGATTTTTTTTATAAGTCCCCGGTCATTAATATTAATTTTCATAAATACAATTTTCCAGCACTTGTGGATAGCGGGAGTGAAATATCATGTTTTTCTGATAAGGTTTGGTCTCAATTGGAGGATTTTCATGATAAGATTCCTACATTTCCATGTGCAGGAATAAAGGTAGTAGGTGCCTTTAAATCTAAAAATAAAAGAGTGGAAAAACAGGTTCAAATGGTTTTCTCGCTGGGTGGACATGTTTTTACACACGAGTTTTTGATAATAAATGATTTGAATTACCCGGTGATTTTGGGAATTGATTTCTTGCGTTTCTTTAATGCCAATGTGGATTTTAAGAGGAGGTGCATTAATGTTTTTCATGAAGGCCAAAAAATTACTTTGTCAGAACTTCCACATCATCCGTCCTTCATAAATTTGGATAAGGTTTGTGCGCACCTGGTGCCAGAAAAGAAAGTGGAGATTGTGTCGACGGGGATCCCTAGGTCGGATTTTGAGGCACATTTATCGAAGGTTCTTGAATCTTGTGATTTGACGGATGGAAAGAAACATATTTTTTGTCAGTTTTTGAGGAAAAACAAAACCGTTTTTTCCGAATATCCGGGCCTCACTTCTGTTTACGAACATAAAATTCAGCTTAAAAATGAGGGTGAATTTTTTATTCGTCCTTATCCTATTCCTTTTGCCCATAGAAAGGCAGTGGAGGAAACTATCAGCAATATGGAGGCATGGGGGGTGATTGAAAGGGCAAATCCACCCTATATTTCTCCGTTGAGTACCGTCGTGAAGAGAGATGGCACGGTACGTGTGTGCCTTGATGCGAGGCACCTTAATTCTGTCATGGTAAAGGAGTTCGAGTTGCCTAGACCAGTGGATGATATTCTTCGAGGCATATCGGGGGCTCGTTTTTTGTCTACCCTTGACCTTACCATGGGGTATTGGCAAATTCCCCTGCAACCCGAATCACGGAAATATACAGGATTTATGGTGGGAACACGTACATATCAATTCAAGGTACTTCCTTTTGGCCTGTGTACTGCTGTATCATCATTTACTCGTTGCTTAGACCTGATTTTTGGTTCTGATTTTTCTGAGTTTTTAGTAAAATATTTAGATGATCTTCTGGCTTTATCGCCATCTTTCGAAGCCCATTTAGAACACCTGCAACTTCTTTTCGACCGATTAAATTCAGTGGGATTAAAGTTGAAACTTAGAAAATGTTGTTTCTTTAGGAAAGAATTAAAATTCTTGGGCTATGTGTTGAATCGGGAGGGTGTCCGTCCCGACCAGGACCGAATTCAAGCAGTTTTAGACTATACTATTCCCACTAATAAAAAAGAAATTCAGAAATTTTTGGGACTTGTGAATTTTGATAGAGGTTTTTGCCCACATCTTGCCGATGTGTGTGGCCCACTTAGTGATCTGCTCAAAAAGGGAGTAAAATGGACTTGGGGCGAACCGGAGCAAAAAGCCTTTGAAGCCATTAAAGATAAACTTGCTAATGCTACCTTATTATATTATCCAGATTTTTCATCACCTTTTCATGTTTCGATTGATAGTTCAAATCTAGGCTTGGGTGCTGAACTTTTTCAGATAGTTCAGGGAGAAAAAAAGACGATAGCAGTCGCTAGCCGCTTATTATTACCACGAGAAACACGATATCATTCGAATGAACAGGAGGCGTTAGCTGCGGTTTGGGCTCTTAAAAAATGGCGAACATTTTTGTTGGGCACGCAATTTTTTCTTCATACCGACAACCGATGTTTGACGTATCTAAATACGTGTCGGCTCTTGTCACCTAGAATAAGTCGGTGGGCGTTGTCGCTCCAGGAATATGATTTTGTAATTCAGCATGTTCCAGGTTCTCAAAATGTTGTAGCCGACGCCTTGTCCAGGTACGCTTGTGTTCGACTTCCTAGTCCCGAGGACCGCTGCTTCAAAATATATGCCCTTACCCTGCCTAAAACTATGCTATCAATTTTAAAAAACATGCCCGCTCTTCAAAGGGAAGACATAAAATTGGGGCTAATTCGGGAAAACTTAAATACTGACGCATCTTTGCAAAAGCGATTTCTTTTTCATGAGGACCTCCTTTATTTTCGCCATACTGATGACGAAGCTTATCGCCTATGTGTGCCTAAATGTTTGATTGAGACATTTTGTGAGGCGTATCATGTGACCTTTGGACATTTTGGAGCATATAAAACCTGGTGCGCTCTAAAGAACGAGGTTTGGTGGGCAAATATGTACCCAGACATTAAAAGAGTTATCCGAGTTTGCGAGACCTGCCAAAAAACAAAGCATTCACCATTGCCAAAACCACCAATACATCCTATCATTCCAGAGGCCAAGGGTGATTTAGTTGCCTTGGATTTGTATGGCCCGTTAATTCGTAGTCGAGGTGGGGCGACTTATCTGCTTGTAGTTTTGGACGTTTTCACTAAATTGGTGGCTTTGTATCCCTTAAAACGTGCTACTACTCGCGCTGTGTTGAACAGACTCACTTTGGATTATTTTCCGAGAGCGGGAAAACCGTCTCGGCTCCTTAGTGATCATGGTACGCAATTCACTTCTCGTTCCTGGAGAAGCACTTTGGAGGCTTTGGATGTTAAAGTAGTGTTCACTTCGGTGAGGCATGCTCAAGCCAATTCCTCTGAAAGAGTAATGAGGGAGCTGGGAAGATTATTCCGCACGTTTTGCTCTGAGAAGCACTCAAGGTGGGCGTTTGAGATTAACCGGCTGACTGAGTTGTTAAATAATGTGGTTCATGAATCCACTGGCTTCACTCCCAATGAGCTGCATTTCGCTGAATCACGTCCCAAATTACTACCGAAGTCTTTACAGCCTCCAACTCAGGTGTTTGTTCCTGTCGAATCCAAATTAATCTTGGCCAAGGAGACGCTAATGAGCAAAGCCGCTCGTCGAGCCGCTCAATTCCCTGCTAGGCCTTATGACCGTTTTAAGGAAGGGGATCTAGTCTTACTCAGAGCTAATAATTACTCTTCTGCTCTGAAAGCGGAAACAAAAAAGTTTCTTCTGCTTTTCGAAGGCCCCTATAAAATTAAAAAACAAATCAGTTTCTCGACTTTTATTTTGTCCTCATTGGATGGAAAAGCTGAACGGGGAAATTTTCATGCTAATCTTCTGAAACATTTTTCTCGGAAACAGGATAGTTAAACCGTTTTTTTTTGTGTATGTAGTTTCCTCTGCGGAAATATTTTCCTGGTGAAAACTAAGAGGGGGCAGATGTAACGGAATCTAATAGGGAACCATTTGATAAAGTGCCTACGTCACTTTAACAGTAATAATAATCATTGATGAATATTTATTCTTGGCCTCAGTAGCGTCCTCTGTATGAATTTTTCCCTGGTATACCTAAAGTTAATTAAACATAAACTTTTCTCTAATATAAACTTATTAACAACAATTAAAATTCGTCCTCTGCCTAACAGAGGGACCTACTTATTTTAAAATTATTCTTAAAATTATATATTTTTTTTTGGTTCCTGAAACCCGCATTCCAAAGCTGTTTTTTTGCTGCGTTTTCAATTTTGCATTCAGGAATCTTGACTAAATCGATATTCTAATTTCTTTTATTTGCGCCTTTCAAACAGACAACTGTGTAGTTTGAAAGTTCGTGGGTTTCCTTTTTATTACAAAATCAAACCTGAATTTAACTAAGTGTCAGGTATGTATCTAATTTTGCTTTATTGTGTATTCGAGGCTGATTGTTGATTTTGTATTTTCTTCAATCTTTCATACTTTATAAGATTAATAATTATGCCAAGAATTTATTAATTGATGCTCTAAATCTTACAATCCTTACAAATGGTTCTACGAAAAATGATTTCCCTATTTTTTTTCAGTTTGTTTGGTGATAATAAAAGACGTTTGCCCTTCAACAAATTGTGTTTTGTTGGCCTTAACCTTCCTTCCTTTACAAGTTGATCTCACAATTTGCATATTATAGCAAAAAACAAGCCGATTTTTTTCTCTTAAACCCTCAACGTTTGTTTTCAACTCCCATATGAGGATTTTGGTGTTGATCGAATGTTATCAAACTATAAAAATCCAAATAAAAACTCGCCTCTATTTTGAAAATGGTCGAAATTTTTTAGCATTATATCTTTGATTAACTGAAGATCCATTGGGATAAAAACTGGATTGAATAATAAGTAAACTCCTCCATATTCGAGTTCGAGTTTTTTACTTTTCAATTGGAAATAGATGTTGCCGATACTTTCGAAGTAACCATATTCCTGAAAATAAAAGCATTTAAGTTAATAACTTTCGGGAATGAAAACACAAAAATGTTTGCAATGACAGCTCGTTAATTGTAGAAGATTACGGAGTGTATTCGTATTAGTTTCAAAAATTTTAGCTGTATTAAGTGAAAAGAAAGTCTTACCTGAAATCTCCATAGAAAAACTCCGGCGTGTGGAAAAGTGCACTTTTCCACACGCTCGTAGAAAAGAATATGTTTTATTTTAAGGTAACATATGCGACTAGGGTTACGCAATTGTATGATAACAATATATTTTATCAAAAATCCTAATTACATACACTTCATTAGGTAAATCCAAAAAATCTTGATTACATTGAAAGCTATTTTCGGCATAATATCTTAATGATTCCGGCACGAGGCAAAATACTAGAATATACAACAATAACTGGGCACATATAAATCTTAATGAGATTTTTTTTTTTTTGACCAGTCAAAAAAAATATGGTGTGGTATACGATATCTCTAATTTTTTTCGCAATAACTTCTTTAATATGGCTGTTTTCGAAATGGCGCTATTCTTATTGGAAACGTAAAGGCATTGTTCAACTTAATCCGGAGTTTTTCTATGGAGATTTCAGGTAAGACTTTCTTTTCACTTAATACAGCTAAAATTTTTGAAACTAATACGAATACACTCCGTAATCTTCTACAATTAACGAGCTGTCATTGCAAGCATTTTTGTGTTTTCATTCCCGAAAGTTACTAACTTAAATGCTTTTATTTTCAGGAATATGGTTACTTCGAAAGTATCGGCAGGAGAAGCCTTCAAAAACATCTATTTCCAATTGAAAAGTAAAAAACTCGAACTCGAATATGGAGGAGTTTACTTATTATTCAATCCAGTTTTTATCCCAATGGATCTTCAGTTAATCAAAGATATAATGCTGAAAAATTTCGACCATTTTCAAAATAGAGGCGAGTTTTTATTTGGATTTTTATAGTTTGATAACATTCGTTCAACACCAAAATCCTCATATGGGAGTTGAAAACAAACGTTAATGGTTTAAGAGAAAAAAATCGGCTTGTTTTTTGCTATAATATGCAAATTGTGAGATCAACTTTTACCATTTTTCATTTTAGGTGGCTACAATCACGAATCAGACATTTTAACACAGACACTCTCCAGATTAGGAGGTGAAAGCTGGAAACAGTTGAGAGCCAAACTAACTCCAACTTTTACTTCAAGCCGAATAAAAATGATGTTTGAAACTTTAAACGAAAAAACGTATCAATTCGAATCCATAATCGATCAATACATTGAAAAAGACGGTGAACTTAATATTTCAGATTTTTCTGCCCGATTCACTACCGACGTTATTGCCTCTTGTGGTTTTGGCATCGAATGCGATTCACTGACAAATCCGGACTGCGATTTTAGAGTTTACGGTAAAAAAACTAATACTCCACGTCCGATGAAAAATTTGTTGGAGAATGTCTTTCCAACGAAATTTTTGGCTTATATTGGATACAAAAGCTTTGGAGACGTGGAGGAATTTTTCGTTAATATTGTATTAAAAACCATAGAGCATAGAGAGAAAAATCAGGTATTTAGGTGAGAATTTGATTTATTGTGCAAGCTATTCAAAAACGAGACACAACAAAGTACAATTTCAGCTTTCGGAATTATATAGAAGCAGATCTAGATTCTGTAACTTTATTATTCTGCAATGCAAATTATATTCTACAGGGCACAGGGTAAAATGTTTTTGAATAATGCATTTTTTGTATTTTAGTATTAGATATTAGTAAAGAAATTCTCAGACACCACAAAATTTGGTCAGTCAGTATAATATAAGTACTGAGTATGTTTTTTGTTGAATTGTAGTAAATTTCTAATTAATTGAATGTTCTTTATAAATGTAAAATAGAGGTTACACTCCTTGATATAAGCTGTAATCCCACATTTTGAGTGTGACATTATCACTTGCACCTCTATCTTCCATTGATTAAAAACTAGCTGCTTTTTTTTAAATCCGATTTTCCAATTTTGGGCCAATTTCATTAAAATCAAAAGGAGCAAAGTTTTTTGGTTTTCTACGAGGTTTTCTAACTGTAAATTGATTTTAATTCAATATAGAATATTCTTTAAAGTACCCAGTTTTTCTTTTTAAGATTATATTTCTCAAATTTGAATTATTTAATACTAAGACTAAAGACCTATAGGTATATTGATGTTATAAGTATAAGACTGAGAGTTTCTTTACTAATATTCAATAAGATCTAGTATCTTAATTATATTTTTCTTCGTATTTTGTCTATTCCAGAAAGGACTTTATGCATTTATTACTTCAGCTGCGTAACAAAAACTTATTTTCTGACGATGGCAAACTCACCAAAGAAAATAACGAAACTGGTACTTTCACGGACGACGAAATTGTAGCTCAGTGTTTCATTTTTTTTGTTGCTGGATTTGATACCTCTTCGTTGACCATGACGATGGCCCTGTATGAAGCTGCTAAAAATTCCGAGATACAGGACAAAATGAGAGATGAAATACGAAAGGTTTAACTGTCACTTCTGGGAGCGAATTTTAAATAATTTGACATTTTTAAGGTTTTAGAAAAGTATGATGGAGAATTAACGTATGAAGCTGCAAAAGAGCTGGAGTATGTTGAAAAAGTAGTCTCAGGTATGAAAAAAAATTATGTACAGTTGCGGCCATTGGAATTGGCACTGTACCACCTGAGTTTTATATTATTATTTTTTTAGAAACTTTGAGGAGATACCCTGTTGTACCTTCGATTCAAAGGGTTTGTACCAAAGATTACACAATACCTGGGACAGATATTGAAATAGAAAAAGGTATTAATTAACCTCCAAATGTTATAGAAAGTCTTGTTTTTTCCATTTCCAGAATATTTAACACATCAGTACAATTGAATATATCATAATCAAGCTAGAAATAATTGATAAACGTTGGAGGATTCAAAAAAATAAAATATATATATTTGTATAAGCGGAGAATAGATACATATGATCAAATTATCCAAGTTTGTTATGGTAATACAAAAATCATTTCTAATCACAAAAATAGCCCATATTGCTAGTTTATACTTGATAAATTAACCCATTAACGGCGTGTTAGGATATAAAGTTAGGACTCCTCTCTTTGTCGCCAGGCTTGTTTTTGAGATTCCTAATCAAAAAAGTCAACGTTCCGTATGTAGGAATAAAAATAATTCTATAGGCAATTGTTATGAAAAAGAACATAAAAATATAAAACTGTGGAACTCTACACCTATACAGTTGTTCATGCGAATAAATACACTTTTGTCACCACCCGGAAACAGTATAAATCACCGCTCGCCAACTCAAAATCATACTAGCAAAGTCTGATAATAGTTTATGGGCGGCTGCGACATTATTATATCATGAAGAAGTGATTATAGTAATTTGATGTTGAAAAAGTTCTTGTTTTGTTTCGTGCTCCATCAGTAAAATTACAGCTTCGTCTAGTTATTTAGGTATCTCTGTACTATTTGTACTTTCATTATCTCCACCTAAGTTTTTTATTTTATCTTACCTTACTGATTCTTTAAACTATACTATTTTTTCTTTATTTGAATCTTCAATAATTATAATAAATTTTAATTATCGTTGTTTACTTTTGTTCAATGTTTGTAGTTTAAAGTTCTATGTTTCAAATTTATTTCTATTTTTTTTTCTCTCTCTCTGGTCTTTGTTTAAACTCCCGTATTAATCACTTGATTTTTGTTATTTTTATTATTTTAATATCAATGATTGATTCATCTTCTCCTACTAGGTCTTAGTATTTTCGTATGTTTTTGAATCAGATATTTACTATCCAACTTAAAGGCAATCTTCTGCTATTAATATTACTTTTACTTTGATTTACTTGGGTATATATACAACTAATTTTTCTTACTAACTTTGCTATCAAAATTGTTTGTCTAGTAAACATACATTTTTGACAAATTCCTTCTGCCTCATTATTCACCATAAAATTATTTTTCAGGTACACACATTCAAATTCCGGTTTGGGGCATTCATATGAACCCCGAATATTATCCAAATCCAGAAATATTTGATCCAGAACGTTTTAGTAATGAGGAAAAAGCCAAAAGACCTGATTTCACTTATATGCCGTTCGGTGAAGGACCAAGGATTTGTATTGGTAGGAGCTCAAATGTATTTTTTGAATTTATTATTTTTAAATTTTTATAATTTTTTTAGCTGCTCGTTTTGGTTTGCTTCAAGTGAAAATAGGCTTGGCTCGCATGCTCAAAGACTATCGATTTACTTTTTCTGAAAAAACACCCAGAAATATTTTATATAAACATGCTACAGTTTTGCTGTATCCCACAGAAGAAATAATTTTAAACGTTGAAAAAATATGAGAAAACCAAATATCATGTTGAGAATTTCATACATCTGTCAAAACTGGTATTCCAACAATAAATTGACATGTTTTGATTGTTGATTTGAATTTGAACCAATCAGATTGTAATTATGCGATAATTTGCACTAGTGCAAATTATCAGATAATTGCATACTAACTGGTGCGAAAACTGGTGTTTTGACATTTTTTGACAAAAAATTTAAATTTTTGATTTATGAAATTCTCTCATTAAATACAACTCGTGCAATGGAAATATATTTATAATTTTCGACAAATTTGCACTCATTGCGTTTTGCAAAATGCATTCGGGCAAATTTCCCAAAAATTATCAATAATTTCCATTGCACTAGTTATATTACTATTGATAATTAATTTCATCAAGAGACAAGACGAATACCTACCTGTTGCTTTTATGTATAAGGTCATGTTTGTGTTTTTTGTTGAAGCTAATAAAAGACAAGATATCGAACTAATTTCTTTATTTATTTTCAATAAACGACAAAGATTACAAAATCGGTTTATGAAATCAACCAACTATTACAAAATCTGGTTCCAATCCAATTTTTTCCAATCTCAAAATCATAAAGCGAGAAAATCGAATAAACAAAAAAAACCTTCTTATTCGCATAGGATACCTACTGAGAATAGTATATGTATTGTGTATTTAGGTGGAAAAGTGACACATTCTTGGCCGGTGTAAGTTGACGGGCGAGGCGTAGCCGAGGCCGGCAAACACCAAAGGCCGAGAATGTGCTTTTCCACCGAAATACACATACTATATTTTCTGCGATCGGTTGAATATCTGTTAAATGTTTGCCTTTTTGTTCCAATTATTCAGAAGTACGAGAATCACTTTCCCGGCCTAGGCCGGAAAAGTGATTCTCGTATTGTTATTAATTGATTCCTAAGCAACTATTGAAGGATAATTAAAATACCAGAATATTGAGTTTTGCGACCTGTCAACCGGTCAAAAATGTTGACATTTCTTGTCAATTGCAGAAAAAAGATTTTTTGAGAAACTTCCACCTGAGAAAATAGTATATTGTGTATTTAGGTGGAAAAGTGACACATTCTCGGCCGACGGTGTAAGTTGACGAGAGAGGCGTAGCCGTGGCCAGCAAACACCGAAGGCCGAGAATGTGCTTTTCCACCGAAATACACATGCTATTTTTTCTGAGATCGGTTAAATATCTGTTAAACGTTTGTATTTTTGTTCCAATTGTTCAGCAGTACGAGAATCACTTTCCCGGCCTAGGCCGAACAAGTGATTCTCGTATTGTTATTCATTGATTCCTTAGCAACTATTGAAGCATAATTAAAATACCAGAATATTGGGTTTTGCGACCTGTCAACCGGTCAAAAATGTTGACATTTCTTGTCAATCTCAGGAAATAGTATATTGTGTATTTAGGTGGAAAAGTGACACATTGTCGGCCAACGGTGTGAGTTGACGGGCGAAGCGTAGCCGAGGCCGGCAAGCACCGAAGGCCGAGAATGTGCTTTTCCACCAAAATACACATACTATTTTTTCTGCGATCGGTTGAATATCTGTTAAATGTTTGCCTTTTTGTTCCAATTATTCAGAAGTACGAGAATCACTTTCCCGGCCTAGGCCGGAAAAGTGATTGTTATTTATTGATTCCTTAGCAACTATTGAAGCATAATTAAAATACCAGAATCTTGAGTTTTGCGACCTGTCAACCGGTCATAAATGCTGACATTTCTAGTAAATCGTAGAAAAAAATATTATAAGGTGACAACTATTTAAAACACTTTCCGTCCGTTGCTTGGAAGCAGACTTTTGACCTTCAGTAACTTGCTTATAATAATGTTTGAAAAAATTCTCACTTCTCTTCCAATTTCCCTGTTTTAATATTGTGTCTAAAGGAGTATCAAGATTAAATCTAGATGAACCTACCGCCGCACGGCAGCTACCTGGTGACGCATCAATACCTGCTGCTTTGAATGTCGCTCTAATCCAACCCGCGATTACTGTACGTGATTTCGAATCTACATTTACCCCTCGTAATGACAAATAACGCGTCAATTAATTTATTACCTCTACGGATTTTTGATAGTCCTATAATAGACCGGTGCATAACGACCATTTTTTCAAAACGATTTTCTCCCGTCTGCCTTTAAGGGTGGTTATTCTTTATGCAGTAAGAAGTGGAATGGCTGAAATTTCAAAGAGCCCCGCGTGTGACAATACAATGATATGCTAATTTGAAAATGTAATGAAAAGTGGAGATGTGGATCAATATTATCCCGTCTGCCACACATTGTGAAGGTAATTTTAACAAAAATTAGTAGAAGGATGCTAAATGGCGGAAACCCTGGGTTAGTATAAAGTGTCATATTACTAAATTCAAAATGTCACCAAAATCGGACCTGTGGATCAACGACCTCCCGTCTGCCAAATTAAATTTATGTTACATTTACGATGTAATACATCAATAAGTAAATGGCAGAAAATCTCGGTTGGTATAATAATATTTAACAATTTTTGAAGTTGTATCAAAATGCTGAGATGTTGAAACAATTTTCTCCCATCTGCCATTTGGAAGATAAGTTTGACATGCAAAGTAAAATCCAAGAAATATATTGGCAGATGTATCCAAGGCATATTAACAATTGGCAGAAACAATAAAAATGTCAAAATTTTTCAAAGTTGAGATCAATTTTTTCCCGTCTGCCAATAATTTATATTAAATAAGCTACTACTGAAAGCCTAAATTTCGACTGGCAGAAATTGCAGGCTGATATAAGTTCTCATAATTTATGAACAAAATTGGAACAAAAATTGTTCATATCATGAACGTTTTTAACCCGTCTGCCGTTTGTTTCAGTACAAAGTAGTTATGGGAATATGCATAATCTCAATATGGCAGAAACCTCAATGAGCTACATACGTTGCACAATTATTGTTAAATTGCTAAAAATGTTTATGTGTCCAAACAATGGACCTTTTGCACTCAATCAAAATTAGGTATATTAGGCAATTCAATCCATCTGTCAAAAAGGAAAATTCAATGTGGTGTGGCGGCCAAGCAAGTTTGTTTTCAATATGTTTTTATGCGTATTTTAAATTATTTAGCATACAGTTTTGCTTACAACTTTGATTTTCATTATTTAATAAAATATTTGTTGACTAGGTACCTAAACTATTAATTCGGGCAGAAACTAGACATTTTTTTGTGTTTTTTGGCCCATGTGTGGCCGCCACGCCATCTTGAATGTCACGTGGTTTGAATTGCCTAATAATTTATCTGTAACGAAAGTGTATTTTATGTAGGTACTACATAAAAGTATGGTTGGTTAATTTTTAAAAAACCTTGAAGCCAGAAATTGGAAGAAAAAAAAGCAGATTATTTCAATTTTGAGCCATATTTTTGCACAATCAAAAATCACTGATTGTCAAATTTCCATGTTCCAAGTGATTCATTTTTTTTTCTTTTTTAACACATCGGACAAAAAAGTAGACATAGATACAGGGTGACACAAGGAATAGGGAACAACCTATAACTTTTTTAATATATAAGTTGAAAATTTGAAATTTGGGGAGCTTAATCGAGGCAACTTTTTGAGTTTTTTAGAAGTAAATTGCGTTACCAGTCACTTCCGGTTAAACCAAATTTTCAACTTATATAGGCATTGAAAAATTTATAGACTGTTCCCTATTCCTTGTGTCACTCTGTATATCAAAATCGCTTTGTATATCGACTTTGGTACAGCCCTACTTTTGACTCGACTACACCATTTCAACCTCAATTTCGGAAAAAGTAACTTTTATTTAGGAAAATGTTAATTCAAATTCGGAAAAAGTAAATTCAAATTCGGAAAAAGTAAATTCAAATTCGGAAAAAATAACATTATTTTCTCCGTAATTGAATGTCAATGAAGTCAAATTTTTTTCTCAAAGGAAATAATGTATAGATGAAAAATGTTGAGATTTTACCGTCACAGAAAAAAATAGTGTATTATACCTACATGGGAAAAAAGTAAGATTTTAGCGCTCGCTGTGTTGTCTCCCTCCGTTTAGCGTCGGGAGACAAACCACACCTCGCGCTAAAATTTAGTACTTTTTTCCCTTATATAATAAATAACTCGATGGGTTCAAGGCAGAACGGCATAAGCGCCATAAATTTCGAAAATGACTTAAAGGTATGGGTGGATAGAAAATTAAGTTCTGCGTCGGTCTGTGCAAGCGGCATATCCACCAAATAGTATATTGTTGTATTAGGAGTAGAAGCTTTACTTTTTTGTGCTGAAGCAGTAGGTTTGCGAGCCGAACGTAGTGAGGCTTGCAATACTGCTGAAGCACAAAAAAGTGCTTCTACTACGTATGCAACACGCTATTTTTTCTCCAAACGAATGGGGTAAGCTCGGGGTTAACTGAATGGTTAAGCGGCAGTAAAAGTACGAGCGGCACTAAAAGTACTTTTGCTGCCGCTCCAGCGGCACTAAAAGTACTTCTACTGCCGCTGCGGTTGCCTAGCAGCATAGAAATTTAATTTTTCTCCGAATGACAGTAAAAGCGGCCTTTTAATGACACTTGACAGGATCAAAAGTTGTATTTTTAATGCCTAGGCTGTAAAAGTGGACTTTTACTGCCTAGGCATTAAAAGTGACAGTGTCACAACGTTCCAGGTAATAATTTGACTCAATTTGGTATTTGAAATTGATGGTGACAATGACAATTGTCAAAATAATTTAATTATTTGGAAAATAATAATGATTGAAATAAATATAAAAAAGATGTCCATGTGTGAATTTGAACATGGCAGAAAAGCAGATTTAATGCCTCGGCTGGTTTCCTAGCCTCGGCTATAAAACACCAGCCGCGGCATTAAATCTTGTACTTTTCTGCCTAGTAAAACAAATAACTATTCTACCACTTCGACAGGTGTTAACCCGCTGAATTTGCCTACCAGCATAGAAATTAAATTTCTAACATCTTGACAGGTGCTGACAAAGTGACGTTTGGAGGAAAAAATTATTTTCCTAACAAGTGCGCAAAGTGTCACTTTTCCGCACGCAAACACAGTTATACGAACGACGCGAAGCGGAGTTCGGATACGTGTTTGCGTGCGGAAAAGACACTTTGCGCACGTGTTAGGAACAACATTTTTCCTACGAGCTTCATATCAGGTAGGTAACAAGATTTTTTTTTTTTTTTAAACCCATAATTTGTTCAATTATTTTTAATTAACTTGAAGCGAACCTATACATTTATCAAAAAATTACCTAATAAAAAAAATAACAGAAAATCCTCGTCAGAGCTGTTCATCTTAAAGCATTTAAATTTGATGATAAAGTTTGTAGATTCTTGCATATAAATAGAGAACAAATCTGACAATGTGTCAAGGTTAATTTATATTTGGTGTTTGTATTGATGTTGGCTGATATAGAAACCGAGAAAAAATTTGTCATCATGTGTCAAAGTCGACAGGTGCACTTATTGTTGCT